ATTAATAAGTACTTAAAATTTTAATTATTTGTTAACAAATGATTTTTTGGACCTTTCAAAAGACCCTAATAAACTTATGCGGAATCTAATTAAAGCATTTTCACTTAAATAAAACTTAAAATTTAACTTTCACTTAATTTGAAGGTATGACTTAAAATCGGTTACTTTTACTCATATTTCTATTTTTACTTTATTTTCATTTATATTTAGAGTTTTATTAGTTATAGGGTGTATTTATTATAATTTTTTAATTATTATTATAAAAAAAATATATTATTATTTTATTAATTACTTTATTAAAATTATTTAAATGATATTATTTTTAAAATAAAATAGTTTTTTATATATAAATTAATTAAAAAATATGCAATAAATTTACTTTAAACATAATCTCTTAAGGTGCTTATTAGAAAATTCTTTAATTTATTCTTAAATAATATGTGCAAAAATTTATTTAAGTGATTGATAAAACTGAATTTAAATTTTATATTTTTTATAACAGATAATAAAAAATATGTAATTAATATATTATTAACCTATACATTAAAGACATAAAGTGAAAAGATCTTTTATTCTTTATTAAGTTTAACAAGAAATCTAATATTTTATGAAATTTTCAAATATGTGCCATAAACTAAGGTGAATTAATTATACTTTTTTGTTTACTTTTTATTTTTTCAAGTATATCAAAAGTTAACTAGTGTTATAGAAATTTAAACCCTTCGCTTTAACCCCAAATCAAAGCTTTTAATTTAATGAATATAAATTTAACTGAGCTATTATTGGTTGATAAATGGGGACGAGGGATATGACACAAGATCTTCCCAACAGGTCACTCATCATAATACCATAGTCTCACTCAAATATATTTAATTGCAAAGTTCTAATAAGATTTAGTACACTAGTGTTAGTATGATCATATCTTTTCACTTACTTTTTCAATTAAGTTTACCATCCTAAATTTTTTTATTTGAAGCATTTAAAATTAAAATTATGTTGTCTAGTATTTTATTTTTAGAATATTATTTAATATCTTTATTTTTATTTTATCTTTTTATTACATGTAGTTCTTAGTTAGTCTTTTTATGTGTAAAAAATATTTAATTATTATTTATATAATATGTTAAATTTTTATTTAAAATTTTTATTTCAAAAATTAAAAAACAAAATTAAGATGGCTAAAAAAACCAAAAGAATATAAAAAATTAAATAATGATATAGATAATGAAAATTTAAGACCTATAATTTGGCATAAATTATGTTATTAAATAAATTAATATATAATATCATAAATGTAAATAAAATATAAAATAAATTATTAAATAATATTATATTTTAATATTTTAATATTTTAAATAATATAATTCATATCATTAATTTTATATTTTAATTTTACAAAAAATTTTCCCTTATTCATTAAAAAAAGGAAAGAGATAAGAATGGAAAATAAAAAGACAGCAATGAAAATCTGAAGAATATTATTAAAAAAAAGAAATTAGTTAGGTAAGTTTACAATTATGACGGCTGAAAAAAAAAAAAACTGATGAAAGTTTACGGCTATTTGCCTGTTCCCGGTA